TGAGACAAACACACGTATACGCAAACATACATACAGTCTTTACCACACTTAATACACTTCTGGATATACGTGCATATTTTTTTACATTGGCTGTGAAGGAAACTGAAGGGGACTGCGAACGGTGTACCTGTTAACCTTTCAAAATAGAGCCCATACAATATCTTGCAAAATGAGTATGTAACTAGGTTGTATTTGAAAAAAGCTGGTACATTATGCATGTATTTTTTTAGAAACATAGAGTAAGATACTATTTCCTAATAAAATTTTCCTTATTATGTTCCGAACTCAGTCAGTCTTTTAGTTCACACGTATCAAAGTTTGCCTTTGTCGTTTTTAATGCAAATTCTGCCCCCCCCCCCTCGCTTCCTCTTATTTTCGCTCTGTTTAAACAGGTTGTATGTTTCAATAGTTTAAGACATCAGTTTTATAGGGTGATTTTCGCTTTATTTAAACAGGGAGTATATTTCAATAGTTTTAGACATACGTTTTATAGGGTGAAAACTTTTTCAATTTCAAAGCAATGAATACATCGAGGCACGGCAGCCATACGTTGCTCAAAAGAATGTTGTATGGTATTGACATAAAGTTGACAGTGATGAAAGCACCGGCACCCTGTGGCATGTTGACACAGCAGTATAGGCCTATAAGTATTTTCTACGTGCTATCGAAGAGGAAAGTTATTAGTGTTGTTTTGTATGGTGTGTGGCTGGCGCGTGCTCCAGTGTGGTTCTCTCCTTCTTTCCCACCCAACATCTGTCGTCCTTATTTCTCTTACTTCTTTTCTTTGTCTGTTGCTCTCTAGTAACACCTCTAATATTCGGTACTCATATGACTTGTGTGTGTGTGTGTGTGTGTGTGTGTGTGTGTGTGTGTGTGTGTGTGTGTGTGTGTTGCAAGTGCTGTAAACTTAAAAAACCCACTAAAACTGAAACTGTTTTGTATGACCACACAATGAGTCTTCTTTTTTCAGGAGTGTGGATTGTGGGATATGACAAACAATATCTCAAGCAGATGTCTCAATTTAGTTCTATACATGTATATGTGCTTTTCATACTTTTTAGGTTGATTGCAAAAGGAAGAGGCAAACTGACCCTCATCTAAACACCTTAAATTTATGCGTTTCCAGGAAAATTCAAGGGACAGTAATGGATGTTGCTTGCGATTTGGGCCCACATTTGATTTTCATAACACATGTTTACAGATATGCATGAAAACTGGAAAGAGCTGTGAAGTTCATCGCAGTTCCACATTTGTTCCCCCCCCCCCCTATTGACTATGAGTAATTTTAGACCAACGCACCAAAACAGCAACAACAGTAACAGCAACAACAACAATAACACAACAACAACAACAACAACAAAACAAACTTGTCTCATCTTTGTTCTCAAGACTAAATTTCGATGTAAATAGAAATTAAAATCTGTACGTTGAAAACTTTCTTTCTCTCTCTCTCTCTCTCTCTCTCTCC